ATCTGACAAATACTTAAAAAACGATTAACTCTACTTCAGCTCTCTTTCATACACCATCTGACAACTACTTAAAAAACAAATAACTCTACTCCAGCTCTGTTACATACATCATCTGATAACTACTTAAAAAACGAAAAATCCTAATCAAGTTCTGTTACATACATCATCAATTTTTGTATGTAACAATTCTGTTACATACATCATCAAATCAATTTTATCAGGTGTCTACTTAAAAAACGAATAACTCTACTCCAGCTCTGCTACATACATCATCTGATAGCTTAAGACACAAGTCACTATAAATATTATTAAGCAAAAACAGGCCATGATTTTCAAAAAACAAATAATTCTACTCCATTTTAAATACTTCTCTTAACATTGCAGTCACGTGGCTTATGCACTGTGATTCTTTTTACTTATACAAAATACCAAACACTTTTTCGAAACCTCATATTACCCGGTTAAACTACAAAACTCCATATGATTGTTATGTATTAGTGGTAATTTTTATAAAGATTATTAGTTTAAAAACTTATATATTAGTTTTTGTTGTTATATTGATGTAATTCCAGTTTAAAATTTTAGATCATCTAGTTGTAATAGTTTGTTTACTTTCCAGAAACATTTCATAGGACTACTAAAATTTATGTCTAGTTTACGTTACACCAATTTAAAGGACCTTTAACTATTTTTTATACTGATAACTCTTACTATTGAGGCATGCTACTACAATAGTTACACACGTAAACCACATTAACTATTTACATTACACATACCTAAATGAACTCAAAGCAGTTCACAACTCTCATCAACCCATGCTATACTTTGACAAAACACTGTACTTATGGACACTCAAGTCAAAAAATTACTAACTATTGTTTGCAAGTTGTACTGAGCCCCATTAATTGTCCTCTGGTCTCAGTGTTAATTAAGGAGTCTGTGGCAATCTTCCTGACTGGATACTCTGAGAATAGTCCTTTTGGGATAACACAATGGGATACCTTAAAAAGATACCCTGGTGTAGACCCAGAGTGGATCTTCTTTTGGGATACCAGTCTCGGATGAAAGCTGGAGGTCTTCATGTGTTCATACTGCACCATAAGACACAAATCCATACTGTACTCGAGACGTTCATGACACTTATATCTATAATGTATGTTTATCACCCTAATAATACAAACCACATGGTGACTACTTATAAAATGAATAATTCTACTCCATTACCAATTCTATCTGCACGTCACATTTACGTTAGACACTTATAATAATTTAATAGTACAACAACTAATGACTTTCCCTGACTATTGTTTACTATTCTTATTTATTTTTTACTACATTTTACTTATATCCGTTTTAAATATTTTTCCACTTTGAGGCTCTTTGTTTTCCACTGGACATCTGTTCTTTTGTACTTTTATCTCACCCTGCTAAACTCTTTTTAACTTATTATTCATCCCTAAGGTGTTCGCTGCTCAGTACAGCTTCACTAAAATGCATTGCATTTACATATAATTTATATAATTAACATATATATATATATATATATATATATATATATATATATATATATATATATATATATATATATATATATATATATATATATATATATATATATATATATATATATATATATATATATATATATATATATGTATATATATATATATATATATATATATATATATATATATTAGGGTGAGTGGAATTTTTTTATCTTTCCTGTACATGAACAAAAAGTTGTCTTGGCATCAGTACAGTATGAAAATAATATTTGAAGATTTTTTATGAAACGTTTAGGGGTCCCAACTTTTGATTAAAGTCTTATGTATTTTAACCATTTCCTTGGTACAATCTAAATACGTACCAACTATAAATCATTGACTAAAATGCATTGGCAAATGGTTTAGCACCTAACTACAAGTGCTAAAAAAGAAATGGAATAAATTTTATAACGTTATTTACATGTGACGTCACCAATATTAGCAACAAACCATGTGCTGGATTTTTTAGAAACAAGCAAAATATCTAATATATTATTTTATAATTTTATTTTTTTCTTTGCAATAATAGATCTATAGTGAAATTCAAGTAGGCTAATATAGATGTATACTACAGTAGGCTATAGTTTAGACTGTAGAAAGGTCACTTCATTTAACATGTAGGCCTATTTTTGAGAGGGCTAAACATATTATAGTCTGTGTAAATATTGGAATATTTATTGACTAAATTCTTATGAAAAATTTTTTTAACAGCTTTTATTTATTGTAAACATAACTTGTTGTAGTTTTTTTTATTACTTTGGACAAATTATATTAAAAATGGATAGTATGTGTACACGAAGTGCAACTAAACATCCATTGTTTGGGCAGTTAGTTGATCTTCCTGAAAATCAAATCCCATCATATGAAGACGTTGTTAAAGCGTTCTATTATAATCAGAAAACAGTATTAGAAATTAGCTTGCAAGAAAGATATTCAATTTTAGCAGACAGAGTGAAATATGTTTATTTAAAAGCAAGTATTCCCACAATAGAAATGAATAGCACAATCATTAGGATTAGAAGACTTATGGATAAAGTATATGCACTTGAAAAATATTCCGATGCAAAAAGAAATCAGACACGTTCACTGAGAAGTTGAATTCTTTTAAGCAGTTATTTGACATTTGTACCTGCAAATGCTTTGATTTGGGCATTAGAGATAGGAACTTATGCACGTGCCCACTGCCAAATAAAATTCCATTGATAGAGTGGG